CATGGATATGTTCTCCTGAAAGAGAACACGTCTTTACTACATGCCATGCCATTCTATTCATAAAATAGCTCTGTAATTCCAAATAGGTGACTGTTAGTCACTGTTGTATCCAGCCTTCTCCCTGGCAAATGTAAGAGGAGTCTTTATTTTATACAACACGTACAGATTGAACCAATACATTCTGGGCATTTTCTATATACTGTAGACAAAACATCTAGTGAGCAACACAAGACTCTTATAGTTAGGGAGCTTAGAATGTAGCATTGAGTAGGTAAAAATCACACGTAAAACTGACTTAATGAGATCATCTTGAATAGTGATATACAGTTGCATAAAAAGGGAACATAATAATTAGCTAATAGATGGAGGACCTGCATCTAGATTGTGTGGCCAAGAAGAATTACCTCTTAGGAGACATTTGCTCTGAGGCTGGATTTAGAATCTACTGAAAGATTTTTATCTAAGGGTGTGAAATAATTTGATTTGTATTTTCAAAAGAACAATCTAGCTGCTGTGTAGAAAATGCTTTATAGAGGTTTCAAGATTATAAGCAGAAAGACCAGTTGTTGCCTAACTCCAGGTGAGAGATAGTATAGTCTGAACCAGGATGGAGCAACTGAAGTAGAAAAGAAGAGACAGATTGTCTACATAGAACAAATTATGGCAGGACTTGGAAATGAGAGGAATGGATGAATAAAGGATACCTTTTGACTACTGTGTGGATCTTGCTAACATTTTTTTTTTAACTTGGAGACTAGGGACAAATATGTTTTGGAATATAAATCAAGAATTGTACTTTGATCATGGTGAATTTGAGATACCTCCTAGATAGGGAAATAGAGAATTAAGTAGGCAATTAGATATGCAATTCCTAAATACAATACAGAGACCAAAGTTGGAGACAAATTTAGAAGTCATTAAAACTATAGGCAGTATTTAAACCAGAGGGTAGAAACCATTCAGAATGAGACTATAGAGCAAAAAGGTGAATAGGATTGAACCCCAGGGTATTCCAAATTTAGAGGCCAAGTAGGGGAGGTAGAATTGTCAAAGGAGAGGGGGAGGAACTTTCTAGACAGGCAAGAGGAAAACATAGAGTCATGTTACACAAAGGAAAGTGAGGGTCTGAACGAAGAAGACAAAGACATATTCAACTTAAATGACACCAAGGGGCTGAATTGGATGAACACAGACAAGGGGCCATCATATTTGATGACACAAAGGTGAGCTTAACAGGAGAAGTGGAGAACATAAGCCAACTTGGAATGTATTGTAACAAAGAATAGGAGGCAATGAGGAGAGTAAATATAGAATCACATTTTCAAGAAGGTTTTGTCCAAAGGGGAGAAGATGTGTGACAGTAATTTAAGAGAAATGTAATACCAGGAATCTATAGGGTTTTTTAACACATAGGTTTTAAAATTTTTGTTCCCGTTTTTAGAGATGTAAAATATTAGAGCATGGTCTTGTTTTCTAAGGAAATGACCCAGTAAAAGAGTAAGCTGATGACTGTAACAGTTATCAACTTATTGTCTCTCAGCTCCAAACTTACCCTTCAATATATTCTCTGCAATAATGGACAGAATGCTATTAAGCTTCTCTCCTGCACATTGTTAAATGTTCTCAGTAGAGGGTGATGAAGGGACATTGTAGGAAGCAGCAGCTATGCTGACATTTTCAGTGGCTTTGCTGTGGATTGGTGGTGTGGATACCGGGCCATCTGATGGAGCTTTTTCTCAGTCTTGTTCCCAGGACCTGTCCATCATTTTATGACCTTGCAGACTTGTCCTAGACTAATGATAATCTTCCCTGGCCTTTGCTACCCAGAAAATGACACCACAAAACTTCCTGCTGATGAAGGCCTCCGGCTTGCATGGGCACCCATTCCTTTGGCAGGTCTCCTGCAGAGTTTGCCTGCATCCCTGGTCCCCACCTGCTCTGCATGCCCATTCCCCTGCTGGCCAATCATCTGCACTCTGCCCACACCACACAGGGTGTTTTTTCCTTGCTCAGCAACTGCACACTGGTCATGGCCTGGACCAACAGCAACCTCTGCTACTTTCACCAATAAGGTCTGACCCTCTGCCTTGGGAAGGCCCCTTTCAAGTTGCTACCTCCTTGAATTTCCTCCCTCTACCCTAAGGGTACCATGTGGTTTCCTTACATATTATAATCTCTCCTTTATCAAGGGTTTACTATTTCTCTATTCAAGACTTCTTGGGTTTAGTTCATGGTGTGGTTTCTACCTTTTTTTTTTTTATTCATGAGAGACACAGAGAGGGGGAGAGGGGGAGGGGGAGAGGGAGAGGGAGAGGGGGAGGAGGAGGGAGGGAGAGAGAGAGAGAGAGACAGGCAGAGGGAGAAGCAGCTCCATGCAGGGAGCCCGACATGGGACTCGATCCCAGGTCTCCAGGATCAGGCCCTGGACTGAAGGCGGTGCTAAACCACTGAGCCACCTGGGCTGCCCCTGGTTTCTACCTTCTAATTGGATCCAGATGATACGGCCACAAGAGAGATTATAACTGCAGGAATTTAGCACTAGCTGCTACTTAGAATATGCCAGTTTTTGAAGCATTTTCCTTGATCATATCTTCATATATGTAATTAAAAAACTCTCACCTTCTTAGTTTCTTCTCAGTATATATTTAACATCCTTGCCTCTTTATAATGGTTTTCCTTGAAAATATATACCTCTTTGTTTCTTTTAGGAGTATTTATCCATCTGTAAGAATCTGTCCTGCCCAAAAGGCTGGGTGCCAGACATTTTCATCTTTTACTCCTGTTAGAAGACCAAATTGCATTTGCTGCGTGCATACTTAGTAATTATCTCAGATAGGAAATGGCCACACCAAATGTCGAGACAAAGCAAGAGTTACCTCTATGTTTATGATGATTTAGTTTTTGGAAGAACCAGAAGCACTAATCTCTGAGAGCTATCCTGAATGTATTATCCTATCTGGGCTTACACTTTCTCTTAGGATTTATACATTACAAACTTATTTCCTTTTCTTTACTTAAATCTCCAGGTCACATTCTAATAGTCTCTGTTCTAAAATTACAGCCCTCTGTGTGTCTTTTTAAAAAATCTGCCCCTCGAATAAGACTTCTAATGCCCCTTATTCATTCTCACTGCAGCCGAAAAGTCATCATGGAAAGTCACTTTACTAACAGAGAACAACACATGCTGTGCCAGGTTTCCATGGTTTCACAACTTTTGTTCATTCTGACCTTAACAACTGCAACAGTCTACGGTGATGCCCTGGTTCAGGGAACCTGCTCCTTCTCTTTTCTCATCCCTTAACTGCCTTCCCACTATAATTATAAAATTCAGGGGATCCCTGGGTGGTGCAGCGGTTTAGCGCCTGCCTTTGGCCCAGTGCGCGATCCTGGAGACCTGGGATCGAGTCCCACGTCGGGTTCCCAGTGCATGGAGCCTGCTTCTCCCTCTGCCTGTGTCTCTGCCTCTCTCTCTCTCTCTGTGACTATCATAAATAAATAAAAATTAAAAAAAAAAAAAGAAATGCCTTCCTCTCTGAGATGCCTTCTCCACTATATTTGTCACCTCCATCACCAGCATGCTACCACTGTCCATTACATACTTTGTTGACACTACCTTAGCAGGTTGGAATTATTTTCTATCTTTTTTATTACAGTGTAAATTTTTTTTATGGCAGAGAATTCATGTGCCTTTTTGACCACTTTATCTCTAAAGAGTAGAACAGTTCCTGACACATGATATTTTTTGACCATCTGAATGTTTACTGGGCTTTGAACCATGAACCAGGATTCAAATAAGTAGAAAATTTATTATCCCTTACCCAGAGGAAACTGGATAAATAGATTGTTTTTATTATAATTGTTCTTGCCTAGAAATACCAAGAGTAGGTCAGAGGCCCAGTGGTATCTGGGACATGATTTAGAGTGAAAAATTAAGGAAGAATATGATGCCAAATTGTTTTATAATAATTATGTTGTACCTTTCAACTGAAATTCTATCAATCATTCTTTTTTGGCCAAATTTTGGGAAGGTCTGTTAAAATGCAAGAGAGAGAGATTAAAATGTTGATTACAGAAACCAATGTTGTTGATTACATCATGGGTTTCCAACATGTTTCATCAAAAGCTCTCCCACAAGTCCAACACACCTGTAGGTTAGCATGGCTGACGGCCTGGCTGAAATGGTATAACAGAACCTGTACCCTACCCACCAGGCAACTCTTCTAAGTCCTGTCCATTCAGGAAGTACCTGAAGTACCACCTAGAGCACCCAGATCTGCACAGATCAAGGTTTGAAAAACCATAAGTTTTAAACTGACTCCTTCATTTAGGAAATAGGCCCATAGAACTGAAGTGCTTTATTCAAAATTGTAAAATTACTGTCAACAAAAGGACTGAAGCTCAGCTTCCTAAACATAGGGAACTGTGTTTTTACCTGTGTTGTTCTATATTCCTGGAAGATAAATTCTATCAAATTAGATTAGCTCCTAGCAGTGGGAGTTCTTATAGGGAGAGAAAAGTCAGAGGTTTTCAGTATCCAGGGGGCCTTGCTTAGAATTCTGTTGCTCCTCTAGGACTCTAGGCATGGAGAATTGCCTTTCAGGACTTCTCTTGCCACTTGGATGTCATCTTGAGCTTGTCTTTAGCAGCAGAAACAATAAAAATGAGATCATTATTTCCAAATATTTTTAAATGACTTTATTGCACTGGATTTCCATGAATTAGAGACAACTTTTAACCATTAGGTGTCCTGACTTCCCATTTGTGAAGAGTGGCATGACTCTGATCAAGAAGTATGGTCCTTTTTCATGGGTATTTTCAATTTTTATTCTTAAGTAGAAGCCCAATTAGAAGTTGTTTATTTGTTGAATTGATTGTTTATTGATTAGCAATGGTGCAGATCTCATGCTAATTGGGAGTTCAGAGCCAAACACAAGATCTGGCATGACTGCAAACACTTTATAAATATTTTTAATCAAGTGAATGAATTTCAGAGGTGTTATCTAGCAAATATAGTTTAATAATATATTAACTTCATTTCTGACTACAGATTGAGGTGGATGCACACTCTTTGTGCCATATGCAATTGTTATATCCCAGGCATCAATGAGGCCCACATTCAGATCTTGAAAAATTTCCTTAAGGGCAAGATACTGGACGTAACCATGAAAGTCACTAAATCTTTCCACATCACCATGCATCTCCCTGATGTTTTCTGCCTTGATAATAACCATAGTGTCTGGACTTCTCAGAAGAAGACGCTGAACAGCTTTGTGGACATTGAGGGCCCTTCGGATAAAAACATCAATGGGGAAGGGCCTGAAATGCTGGCCCAGAGAAATAACAATGACAGTGTTTTTTTCTCCTCCAGTTCTGTCAATGACTCGGGCAATGTATTCAATTTCTTTCACTGAATAGGTCAATGATCCAATCAGAGGGTAACCATGTTTTTGCCACTGGATGTTGATATTCTTGTCCAAGTCCACAGCAAGCTGGTGTTGAAATTTTCCTGATTCATGCAGATCCACTGATTTCAGTGCTGATGACAAGTAGGCAATCCCAAAATAAAAGAAGTATAAAGTTATAAAGATCATAAAGACAGAAGAAAAGTTTTGGTGTTTATAATCAGATAAGTTAATCATGCATAACGGATTTTATTATAGGTTTAAATGAAGGAATAGCTTTGAAAATTATTTTAACAATCCAAAGTGTTACACAGGTAAGAGGTTATATATGTTCATTTGTAGAACCATGCAGAAGCAAACTGACTGGGGACGGTAAGCACTGCAGTAACTTCATGGGAGCACGATGTAGTTAATTTTTTAGGTATTATATTTGTACATTTCGTGAGCTGTAGATTAAGCTTGAGGCTAGAGAAAGTACTTATGTCTTTACATTAAAAAAACAAACTTATTTCTCCAAATACTCAGAGTTTCCATAAGACTGGAATTATATTCTATACTTTTGTGTTTCCTTTACCTATGCTAAGAATGGTACTGAGCATCTCATCTATAATAGTATTACTATTCACTTGTGAAGGTCTTCATAGTTTACAAAGCATTTATTTGGATATATTCATTCGCCTCAAGGCATGTTCCTTCCTCCCTACACAAACAGACACACACACACACACACACACACACACACACACACACACACACACAGTAGTCCTTCTTATCCACTGAGGATACGTTCCAAGACCCCTGGTGGATGCCTGAGACTGCAGATAGCATTGAACCCTATATATAACATGTTTTTTTCCTGTACATATATACCTATGATAAAGTTGAATTTATAAATTAGGCACAGTAAAAGATTAACAACAATGAAAATAAAATAGAACAATTATAACAATATACTGCAATAAAGTTATGCAAATGTGATCTCTCAAAATGTCTTGCTGTACTGGACTCCTCCTTTTTCTGTGATGACGTGAGATGATAAAATGCCTATGTGATGAGATGAAGTGAGGTGGATGATGTAGGCATCACAACACAGCCTTAGGCTACTATTGACCTCACAATATGTCAGGAGGATGATCTGCTTCCAGACTGCAGTTGACAGCAAGTAGCTCAAACTGTAGAAAATGAAACCAACTCCTGGGTATATATATACACACACACACACAAATACATGCAGACACATTTAATTATCATATTATAGAAAATCAAGAGATGAAATGACCTGCCGAAGCTAGTAAGTGACAGAAGCTGCACCTCAATTTGAAGCTCCTCCCAACTCTCATGAAAACTGTCTACCCAACCTTAGAACCTATGAAAACATGAGTATAATACTAACAGAATAAAGCGAAGTCCTTCCATTTTTCATCCTATAAATTAGGCCTTTATCAGACTATCAGGGCCAGCTGCTTTGTAGTTAGAACTTCTGAGGAAAATATGTAGAAAAGGATTATTAATGCTTTGTAACAAGTGCCATCTTTGAAGTAAAGGGCTACATTTAGTTTTCACCCAAGGCGTTTGAAATTAAAGATACTGGAACATTAGTTGAAGGAAGATGGCAGTATCATTGTCTTCGTTCTGCTTCTGACTTACTTCAACTTCCTTTTCCAAAGCATGCTATAAAATTTAACTTTTAACAAAATGTGCAACAGACATTTTGCTACAATTTAAATGGTTAGACAAAGAGGAGGGAACTCATTAAACTCAGACTTTCTATAACCTAAGGAATTCAGTATTGTAGAATGGAATGCTAACGATTACCACCAGATCCTTAATTTTATAGACCAGGAAACTGAGGTCTAGAAGAATTCAGAGGTCACAACTGAAAACTCTCCCCTTTGGTGGGAATTCCACCTACTGCTTGGAGCTGAGGCCCTACTGTTCTCTTTTTTATTGGGAGGATCACCCTACCTTCTAAAGTGTGAGATCACAAAAGTGGCAGCCATGTCAGAAAGGCTGTAAATGGAGACACATAAGGTGAGCTATTCCCAGTGATGACAGCCAGGAGCCAGGACCCGGGACCCAGCAGGCAGGCAGGCAGGCACCTCGTTTTCCAGTTAAGAGTGCTAAGGTCTACTAGTGAATTCTGAATTATTATTGGTGTATCCTTGGTTTAGTAAATAGAGCAACTGGACTAGGATTCTAGCCACTGGATTCCAGCCCTAATTTGGACATGGGATAACAGTCACAGTCTCTTGTTCACTGGGCACTATGTGTCTTGCAATGTACTAAGTATTTTATAACCATTATCTCATTGGGTCTTCATAACAACCATCAGATAGTATTATTATTTGTAGTTGATGGATGAGAAAAATAAGGCACCAAAAATAAGTAACACACCAAAAGTCATAGCTTCTGAGAGGCACAGCCTATGTACATTAGACAACACAGCCCATACTTTTAAGTATTATTTCTAACTGGTGCTAAGTCATTGCCTTGCTCCTGGAAGTTTTCAAGTAATGATAACAGGGATGATAGCTTATACCAAAGAGTACCTACCTATGTAACAATTCTAAATGCATTGTATATATTACTTCATTCTACCAGGTGGGTTATTTTTTCATGTTTATTTTATAGATGAAGAAGCTGAGAAGGACAATGGTTATATAACTTGCCCAAGGTTACCCAGGTAGAACATGAAGAAGCCAGATTTTGCTCTGAGATCATCTGGATCTAGAATCTACATCCTTAATCATTATGCCAACTGTAGAAAATGGGCAATGTAGTATCTTACATTATTTTCAGCTCTGTCAATGATTTTCTGGGCATGCTGGGTACATACTCAGGTACACATTGGGATACAGATATAATAAATCTTTTCTACACATGCTCCCTTCCAGTCAGATGAATGTATTCTTTTAAAGGAAAGACAATGATGTCTTGAAAAGTTTTAGTGTGTTGTGATTAAGAGATATGAAGAAGAGGCATTTCCTATTGCTCCCTTGAAATAAAAAGTAAATTTCTGAAAGGGATATGAATAATGGCTTAGACTGAGGCATACTGTTGATACTGTTTTTGAAATATTCCATCCACTGGCGGACTGTGGAATCTCCCATTAGATACACGAATTTTCCTGTTAGGCATTCTTTCATTTTGATCGGAGCCAAACTACAGGAGACAGGATTCCATGTCTCTTTCCAGACATGTCCACCAGGGATTGTGGATGTCATTCCAAACTTGCATTTCTTTTTCACTGGAACAGTTTTTCCTGCCAAAGAATCAGCAAGATAAGATCTAAAATATCACACATGCATCAGTATTTATTAAAAACCTACTATCTTTTCTAAGTATCCTTTTAATGGGTCATGAGGGAGGTGAAAAAGCTTATTGAAGCATCATCATCTTAATGTAATAGTTATTTTTAGCAAAATTTTTCTCTGATATGAATATTCTAAATTATGCCCATTAATGTTTATTATAGAGAACATATTTTCTCTCCCCACTCCCCCCAAAGAACCCTCTTGGTAAAATTTAAATATTTGCTTTCCTATGGAAGTAAAGTTATCAATTCTTGCTTAGTAATAAAAACCCAATTATTTTATCATTTTAAGCCTACTTTACCTCCAAGTTTGTCCACTCTGTCATAGTGTCTTAAATGACATCAGAAAACTAAATTCTTTGAATAGAGGGTCCAGGATGGCAGCATAGGAAGATCCTGAACCTACCCCCTCCCATGGACACACTGAATCTACCACTACATATACAACAATTCCCCCTGAATAACTGAGGTCCTATTGAACAGCTGCTTCACAACAAATGATAGAGGGACTGCATAGAGAAAGGTAAAAAGATGGAGGCATGGTAACCAGGGGAGCCCCGTCCTCAACACAGCAACCTGCATTAGGGAGGGATATCATGCAGAGGACCACACACAGATGTGCTTGTCGTGGGCACAGCAGAAAACCATCTATTTAAAAGGCAACTAGTCTATAAGTGAAGTAAATCCATTTACTAACCCTGCATCATCTGTCATGTAAGTAGGGGAACTACTGAAATGCTTTCTGGGGTGGGAGATGCTGACAAGTGCCATTTTTTTTTAATTCCCTCTCTGCTATAATAGCATGGATAGAAACAGGGTCAAGTGCTCTAGCAGCTTACTAGATCTGCCCTATGCAAGTCCTGAGTCTCTAGTTTACAGCAGTTCCAGCTTCCCCCAAGGCACTACCCTATCCCAAATGCCCTCACCCCTGTTTGTGCCCTCCCCAGCTCCTGCCAAGGGGCCCCAGAGTGGCATGCCATAGAATTTCCCAAGGTCATGCCTGACCCAGCCATCTTGCCAACATAGCCCAGATAGCCCTGCATGGTGTGCATCAGGAACCCCCAGGCATGCACTCACTCAAGATTTGGCCATCTCATGAGGATGGACATAGCAGGATCCCCTGGCCTATGTCCACTCCAGGTCCAGCTATCTTATCAGGATGGCCCCAGCACAATTCACCCTGGAAACCCCAGGACCCACACTTGTTCCAGCCCCAGTCATCCCACCAAAACCACAAGGCACACAGCTCACACGGGGGATGCTCCTATACAAGGCCACTCTTTTAAGACAGAGAGGTAACTATTCTGCCTAATTCAAAGAAAACAAAAACCACAAAAATGAACAAAGAACAAAGAATTTGGTTCCAAATGAAAAAAGCAAAATAAAGCCCTAGAAAAAAAAAACCCAATGAAACAGAGATAAGTAATTTATCTGATAAAGAGTTCAAATTAATAGTTATAAAGACATTGACCAAAATGGATGAGTAGAGGGCTTCAAAAAAGAGTTAGAAAATATAAAAAATAACCAGAGCTGAAGAATACAAACTGAAATGGAAAGTAAACTAAAGTAAATCAACAGCAGATTAGATGAAACAGAAGAATGGAATAGCAATCTGGAAGACAGAGAAGTGGAAACCATCCAAGCTGAATGGCACAAATGCTTTTTGTTTGTGTGTTTGTTTTGGGAGTTGAATTAGTGACATATATAACATATAATTTATAGTGACATATACTCATCTGAATAAATGCCCTCCTTAATGCCCATCACCCATTTAGTCCATTCCCCCACACACACATCCCCTTCCAGCAATCCTTAGTTTATTCTCTATAGTTAAGAGTTTCTTATGGTTTGTCTCCCTTTCTGTTTTTATCTTATTTTTCCTTCCCTTATGTTCATCTGTTTTGTTTCTTAAATTCTACATGAGTGAAATCATATGGTATTTGTCTTTGACTTATTTCATTTAACATAGTATAATCTAGTTCCATCCATGTTGTTGCAAATGGTAAGATTTCATCCTTTTGATGGTTGAGTAGTATTCCATTGTCAATATATACCGTATCTTCTTTATACATTCATCTGTCAATAGACATTTGGGCTCTTTCCATAATTTGGCTCTTGTTGATAGTGGCTGGTATAAACATTGGGGTGCATATGCCCCTTTGAATCAGCATTTTCATATCCTTTGGATAAATACCTAGTAGTGCAATTGCTGGGTCATCGGTTAGTTCTATTTTTAACTTTTTGAGGAACCTCCATATTATTCTCCAGAGTGGCCGCACCTGCTTGCATTCCTGCCAACAGTGCAAAAGAGTTCCCCTTGCTCCACATCCTTGTCACCATCTGTTAGTTTCCTGAGTTGTTAATTTTAGCCATTCTGACAATGTGAGGTGGTATCTCATTATGGTTTTGATTTGTATTTCCCTGATGATGAATGATGTTGAGCATTTTTTTTTTCATGTGCCCGTTAGCCATCTGGATATCTTCTTTGGGGAAGTGTCTATTCATGTCTTCTTCCCATTTCTTAATTGGGTTATTTGTTTTTTGGGTGTTGAGTTTGATATGATCCTCTCAATAGATACAGAAAAAGCATCTGACAAAATATAGGATCCTTTCTTGATAAAAATCCTCAAGAAAGTAGGGAGAGAAGAAAGGTACCTCAACAAAATAAATTTTAAAAATTAAAATAAAGGTAGTCTAAGGTAGCTATGGAATAACATCAAGAATACTAACACTTATACTATAGGGATCCCAGAAGAAGAAAGAGAGATAAATGGGCAGAAAACTCATTTGCATAAATAATGGTTGAAAATTTCTTTAACCTGGAGAAAGAAATAGACATCAAGGTCCAGGAAGCACAGAGAGTCCCAAACCAGTTGAATCCAAAGAGATCTATACTAAGGCTGGGTACGCCAACTAAAATGGCAAAAGTTAAAGAATCTTAAAATCAGTAAGAGAAAAACAATCAACATAGGAAACACTGTGAGACTATCAGCTGATGTTTAGCAGAAACTTTGTAGGCAAGAAGGGAATGGAAGCATATATTTAGAGTGCTGAAAGGAAAAACTTATAGTAAAGAATATCTAGCAAGTTTATCATTCAGAATTGAAGGAAATATAGTTTCTGGGACTAACAAAAACTAAAGGAGTTAATCACCACTACACTGTACTTATAAGAAATTATAAAGGGTTTTCTTTAAACAGAAAATAGGCTATAACTTGAAATATATACATATATTCATATCTATCTATACATGTGTGTGTGTGTGTATATATATATATATATATATATATATATATATGAAAAAAATCCATTGGTAAAGGTAAATATAAAGAAAGGCTGTAAATCAGCCACTTAAAGCACTAGTATGGGGAGTCCAAGATGGCAGAGGAGTAGGAGACCTTAGTTTTGTCTGGTCCCAGGAATTCAGCTAGATAGCTATCAAATATTCTGAACACCTGTGAACTCAGTTGGAGATCTAAGAAAAGAATAAGTGCAGCTTGACAAATAGAAAAGTGACTACTTTCTGTAAGGCAGGAGGTACAGAGAAGTGAATTTGTGGCAATATATGGGAAAATAAATCACGGTGCAGGGGAACCTCCATAAGCTGGCTACTGGAAAGTAACATAGCAGCAGCGTGCAAAATTGGAACTTTTAGAGTCTGTTCCAGTGAAGGATGTCCTGACCTGAAAAGTGCTCAGGTGGCTAGGCAGGGCAGAATCCTAAGTGGGAAATGTGGTCTCAGGATCCTTGGAATCACAGGAAGACCAAGGGTACCTGAGTGCAGCAGAGTTCCCAGGCCTCAGAGTGGGGAAGCTGGCTGCAATCAGCTTGGGGTGGCCATATACCATGAACCACAGCAGGGTCCAGGCAACCACTCCCTGAGCAGGGACCCAACAAACAGCATAACTGACATGACCCACCCCTTGCTTCCTCCTCTGGAAGGAGCAGCATGGGTGGAAGCCACAGGAGTCTGAAGGATTTGGAGAATTGAAATGGGGTTGTATACCTGAGAGAGAAACCTGCTTAGGCTGGGTGAGCATGGAGAGTGAATAGAGACCAGGGAGACAGGAGTGACTGACTGTTTTTCCCGGATGGTGCACTGAGGAGTAGGGTCCCAGGCTTTTGCCTCCAAGCCTGGAGATTGGGAAACTGCCGTTTTCATTCTCATCTTCTAAAGTGGTATGTAAAGCCTTCAGGGAACAAAAGCCACATAGAGCAATCTGGAACATATTATTTAGCCTGACCCCTTGGTAAGGGTGGTAAAATTCTGCCAGGGGCAAAGACACCTGAGAATCAGTGCAACAGGTCTCTCCCCCAAGAGAATAGCAAGAAGATCGGCTAAGAGCCAGTTTACCAGTCATAGAGAACTGCAAAACTCCAACATTAGGGGAAAATAGTAAAAAGATTCATGGTTTTACCCCCAAGATTCTTAGTCTTTCAATTTTAATTGTTTTCTCTCTTCCCTTTTTCAACAAATTTCTTATTTTATCAACTCTTCAAAAATCTTTAAAAATTTTCATTTTTACCCTTTCTGGCTGGAACCATGGAGGGTGCAGAAGAGAAGAAGGTTCCTGCTGTGCCAGAAACCCTTAAGAAAAGGCAAAGGAATTTTGCAGAGTTGAAGATCAAGCATCTGAGAAAAAAGTTTGCCCAAAAGATGCTTCAAAAGGCAAGAAGGAAGCTTATCTATGAAAAAGCTAAGCATTACCCCAAGGAATACAGGCAGATGTACAGAACTGAGATTCAAATGGCAGGGATGGTGAGAAAAGCTGGCAACTTCTACATGCCTGCAGAACCCAAATTGGCATTTGTCATCAGGATCAGAGGTATCAATGGTGTGAGCCCAAAGGTTCGAAAGGTGTTGCAGCTTCTTTGCCTTCGCCAGATCTTTAATAGCACCTTTGTTAAGCTCAACAAGGCTTCAGTTAATATGCTAAGGATTGTGGAAC